TTTAAGACACCATTACAATATATTTAAACCCTTTTTCTTAATTACCTGGGTTTAATAGGTATTGCATGATTGGTGGGCAGGGTCAAAAAGGGATTATTATAATGACATGGCACCTCGGAACTAAGTGTTAACCCTTTTTTGAGAAATCATGCTCAAGTATATGAACCCAAATTGCATATTAAATAAGTTTACAAGAACCACTAAAATTAATCTTAATCTTTTTTTAAGAAATTTTACTTACCTAAATACATGTAGGTACTTAGTTTTAGACCAAATTACTTCCCAAAAATGGCCTTTTATTATTATCTATGTCTGTAATTTTTAATTTACTTTAATTATTAAGTTTAATAATCCTAAGATTTGCCTACGCCCATGGACGACAACGAAATTCAGGCAAATTTTATGACACTTCATGATTTATTACTCTACACTCTTGAAATAGACTATAACATAGCTATTCATCAATACGATTTCAGTGAGATGATTTTAGCAACCAAAGATCAGCAACCAAAGATCACTACTTTTCGCCTGTCAACTCATCTTTGGGTCTTTAGAATAATACAGTCGGGAACTAGTGGAACGTTTCCAAGGTATTGAATCGTGTTCCGCAAGATGTTTAACCTTTCAGTAGTCGCGCGATTTTTTGTAACAAGTTTAGTCGCGCAGTGTCTCTGAGACCGGGGTCCGTAATTTTTTTTCAACAGTTTTTTTTTCATTTGAATGTTCAATGAGGCATAAATAACTTAATTAAATGATGTTTAATGAGTTTTGAGTTGATTTTTTTTNTTTAAAAGCCTTGTTGTTTGTGTGGGGCCAGGTAGACGTTTTATAATATTTTCTTGTCGTGTTCTAATTGCTGTCCTTGGAGGTTTATGTTTTTTCCAATAAGTGTTGTCTTCAGCTGTAACAAAAAGTACCAAACGTAAGATAAAAAAAATATAGTTAATTTTTGTTACCTATAAAAGATGGACCTGTCATCTGGTAGTTATCATTATTTTCATCAGCATTGTCAATATCTTGTTCGTGGTCACTACTATGTTCAGTGACTTCCTCGTGATCGGATTCATCTATGTCAGATTCATCGAATGGGAATTCAGCATCATTAATTTCCAAATCCTCTGATAATGTTTCCTCCAATAACCGTTGCAAACGTTCCTGTTCTTTTTCATAAGAGGCCATGGCTAGAAAAGTGAAACAATGAAATAAATAACAAAAAAATAAAGATTTCAGTTACTTACTTCACCCGTAAAAATTGTCACGCGAGTGGTCGCGCCGGACTGGGACACCGGTTTAATTTTTGTAGTCCGATACACAAACTCCACAACGATCAAACTTATACTTTTGATTCGTTCCTTCCGTCGCTACAGCTACTGCGAAAGATGCGCCGGTTCTCCCACCATCTCCCTCGAATTGCCCTAATAGTTCAAAACCCGGTCTCGTAGACAGGTACGCGATTACTGGAAGGGTAATTAACTGGTGCTATGTTCTTATGTTTTGCCTGATGCTTTGTTTATGGCTTTCCTGCTTTTTCCAAGATTGCTTAATTATTTATTGACGCCGTTACAGCGGCAGTGTGTTTGCCAGTGAACTAATATTGAATTTTATGTAGGAATGGTAGGATATAACCCAAGAGATTACTTTCCAAAGATAAAAACATGGTTGGAAAACGTACGGAAAGAATGTAATCCTGTTTATGATGAGGCGCATAATATTGTTAACATGATTGCTGACGATGATGATAATTTGAAAGCGAAGCTGTAAAGGTGATAAATTATTATAATCGTTACAGGTTTTTAAAGAGGTGACAGTTTTTATCAAATTATATTTATAAGTAATAACGTCTTTTAATGAACGTCGACCTAATAATCCATATACTTTTATTTGCCATGAGTTAAAATTTTCTCAAAGACAAAACACAAGCACTACAGGAAAAATGTTGAGGCGCTTTAAGAGCGGTGCCTGTGCGAAATTAGCGATTCACGTTGGATTTGAATCGCTGGAGATTAAATTCATTTTCAAAAACGTTCTCAGGAAGTTTATTACAAATAAACGCAGTTGTCTATATGAAAGAGTTCTTGAACAGTGAAGTTCGAAGTGTACTGAGTTGAACCTCAAAACGATGAGCAACCACAGTCCATCGCGTATTTCTGATATGTACCTACAGTACTTGGTGGAATCAAATGTGCCAAGTCACTTGAACACCTTCCGTGAAAGTATCTATGAAAAAGAGACAAATCTCCAACCTTTTTTTGATGTTCCAGACTATCAAGGTTGCAAGTGATGTTCGTGTCTCCAATCAGGCGGATGGCTCTTTTTTGGATGAAATCCAGCAGCTTCGCGGTATGCTCAGAGACGGAGCCCTATAAACGTGAACAGTACTCCAAAGAAGGTCTGATCTGAGAACCAGCATTTGCAATTCTAGCGACACGATAGCTCCGAGGCATATTGGTGTCCATTTCAACCTCCAACAATCTTATCGAAGCAGAAAGCGGAATTGTCTGTCCTGGCATTATTGTATCTGGTTCGGAGACAATAATCTTTTCAGAGAAAACCTATTCCTGTATTTCGAAACCTAGTTATTTTCACGCCAATTCGGAATCACCTCTAGGTCCTCATTAACATATATAACCTCCTGCTGCCGGTGAACATGTGCATCCGCAGCCAATGTCCTGGAATCCAAATGAAATGACGAGACAAGAGTGCTGTCATCAGCAAAGCCATATAGTGGATTTTTGTTTTTTTCCCAATAAGTCGGTGATATATAATATAAAGCAGCTTGGAGACAATATGGATCCTTCGGGAACACCAGTGTTTATGTTAAAAGTATTCGAGAGATATTCAGCGACAGCCACTTGCAGGGAACGTTTTTTCAGGAAACTGGAGAGCCATGCACAACAATGATCCAACAAGTCATAGCATCGAAGTTTGGCCAGCAAACCCTCATGACACACAAGGTCGCAAAGGCTTAAGAAATATCAAGCGCAACAGCTCTTGATTCTCCATGTTTCTCGATTGCGTTATTTCAAGTATGGGTGACATACGATAGAAGGTCGCCTGTTGTTCTTTGTTTCCGAAAGCCATATTAATGATTGCTTAAGATGTTAAAGCCTTCCAAATATTTAAGGATATGGAGGTTTACGGCTGTCTCCATGATTTTTGATATCACTGATAGCAAAGCGACTGGTCTATATTTATTTAAAAGATTTTTGTTGCCGTTTTTGGGAATAGGCTGCACGCGAGCAATCTTCCAACAATAAGGAAAAACCCCTTCCTTGTAAGACAGGTTGAAACTGGTGCGAGTTAATTGGCGCACTTTTCAATTACAATGACGGGCACTTCATCAGGACCAGACGCCTTGTTGATATCAAGGCTGTTTCACAATTAGCCAGATTAGACGTTTCCGACATTATGGATCCTAGTGTGAGAATAGTGGGCGGTGCCTTTTCCAAAAAATCGGCTGTGGAGTGGAACGCAAATTGTAGATTTGCTGTTTCTATGACTGTCGTTGCAATTGAACCAGCCGCTTGTGTTAGTGGTGGAATTGTGGATTTTGTAAAGTTTTGATTAACAGCTTCAGCTACCAACTAGAAGGATCTAGACCCGTTGGGATTGGCAAGAGATTAGGGAGTAATATCCCTAATATTATTTGAAATATCGTATTCTTCATCAATATAGTTTGATTTAAAAGTTTTTCTTTGATCAATACCATTCTGAAAGTTTTGGCGTTTTGGTAAGTAAGAATAATGGAGAATGTGCTTATAGAACACACCCGTAACCGATTTACGTATGACATTGACATTATATCAACGTGTTTGGTTTTGTCACCGTAGATACTGTGGTTCGTGGTTCTGTCATTCTGTGAAAGAATGGAATGGAATGACGGAATGACACGGAAAAAAAACAAGAATGGCCACCTCATCGTAAGTCTGTAAACAGGCTGCTTTAAATTTTGAAGAACTTATGAATAGTAAAACTTAAAAAATGAAAATGATTTCATTTAGTTTAGTGATCCTAACATGTTTTGTGTCTGCGAACTGTATTATGTGGACGTTAGAACCAAATTCTCAAAAGTGTTTGAGAGAAGAACTTCAACAAAATATACCTGTTATAGGAGAATTTGAAGTATCAGAAGCCTCAGGACAAACTGTAGATTATGTGGTACGTGTACTGTCACAGTAACAAATGTTTTCAGTTTAGTTTAAATATCATTTTATGAACATTAAGTGTTATACCTATATTTTATCATTTTCTACTGTTGAGAGAAATTTTCGTAAATATTTAGGTGCCTAATTTTTCAGGTTACTGATTCAAAAGGTCACATTTTAGCAAAGAGGCAGGGGATCTCAAAAGGAAAATTTTCTTTCAACACAGAAAGTTATGACACATATGAAATATGTTTTGTTTCTCATGTACCTCAAAGTAAGTAATAATCTTTGATTTTGATTACAGTCTGATGAATTGAAAATAAAACCATCGTTTTTGACTTTCGATATCTTCATAACTATGCTCACTCTGTTATTATTTGGTTACCAATTAGAAATAGTAGAATAAAGAATAATATTTATTATATAAATAATATTTATTTCATATTCTTATACTACTCCATTCTAAAGATTCCATCGATTGACACAGAATGGAAAGTAACAACGAGAGGAATCAAACAGCATAAAAATGAGGGGAATGGCCATTTGGGTATCGGAATCATAACAAAAAGATATAGCACAAACTATAAAGGTTCAACAAAATGAATATTAGTATTGAATGAAAACTGGTATTGATAATATTTTCTGGACATTCTTCTGTTTTTTTTTAGACGAGAGAATCTTTTGTCAATCACTAATTGCTTTGAACTGCAATGCCAACATTCAAAACACCATTTTCGGATATAGGATAAAGAAAATAACTTTTGCCTGATTTTTACTGAGTTTTTTATTTGTTACGACTGGTATCGGTTTGTTAAACCATTCTCAAGTTTACTTGAAAATGTAATAGAAAGGTAGTTCAATGCAAGATTTATTGATAACCTGATCTGCATAAAATACAGGGAATTTGTTGAAAATTTTCAAACAACTTGAAGTGTAGCTAGAGCTAGAGAGGAACAAGAGAAAAATCTATCTTGGACGAGAAACAGGTAGAAATTGCTTAGTCTGTAGTGAATAACCCCCTGCAGTTCACGACAGCATTCAAGATGAATTTGAAAATACACTTGTTTTTCAAATGAGATGGTACGCTCCCACATTTTCAGGCCTGTAAGAGATTGATTGGATCAGACATAGCCAGGCATGTGGATAGGTAGGCACGGTCTGTTATAATGACCTGCTAGTTCACAAGAATTGACTCCTCCCAATTTTTTCATTTGGGGCTATATCAAATTGAATGTTTATGTTACGCAACCTGGGACAATATGAAAACTCAGAGACAGAATTACCGAAACTGGTGCTAGAATTCCATTGAATTTGGGACGAGGAATTCTTTCCGTAAGAAGTTATCGAAATTTTAAAAAATGTAGGTCATTGTATATAAAATTTGAATATGGTCTCTATTACATTGAATATGGTCTATATTACAAAAAAAAGTTGATGGGATAAATCTTACATCTTTCCACCTTTTGAGTTATATTTTGATATAATCCTGGACAATAGTAAGCTACTCTTTCGCTTTCACAATAGAGGCATTGATATTTTGGTGGGCTTTGTGTAGTACTTCAATACTGAAGCTTTTTTGTTTTTCTGGGACTACTAGTCTTACCTCGAAATAGAAGACAATCTGGTTCAATTGTTTCATCTATAGTATCTCAGAATGATCATTCAATATGGAGCAACAGTTTTTTAATTCAGGTTATCCTTTCTTGACATGTCCTGAAGTACTGAATCATTTTCTGAGTCTCTAATTTGCTTGCTACCATTATAGAGTCAACAAATGCAGATTAATTTTTTCAATATCTAATATCAACGGTTTCGTTTCCGGAACTTCTTGAAAAATGTATTTGCCATGTAAAAATGCTTTCCTGGTGTATATATCCATTTTGGATTGTAGCTGATTCGTTTTAGTCATTGTAATCTTAGTAACATTGGTTGAAAGGTTTTGTATTAATCCCAATAAAGGTTTATAGTCTTATCGACCTTCTTTTGGTATTTTTATCTTCCGCAATCTCGAAAATATGAAAATTGTAATGGAGAACTTTATACACATGTAGAAAGAACAAACTTTTTAGTTCACCCCAATAAGTTACTGCGTAAATATCAAAAAAAGTAGTTCAAAAATTATACATTTCGGAGGCTAAAATCTGCCTGCGTCTTCAGAATGAACACAATTTAGGTTTATAAATTTTAAATTGTGATATTTGGCGTCCTCCTCTAATCAATCTCTTGTTCTGTCCTGCTAATCAAGAAAGTCGAATCCACATATTGTGAAACATCATCTTAAACATGTTTGATTGAGTATGGCTGCATCATTTTATATCTTCCTTCTGAAAATAATTTATTACCTTCTGACTTATCTCTGGACTAGATTTGATACCAAATAGTAATTGAGTAAAATAATATCTTTCATAAGGAATCGCTACACCCGTTACACAAATTAAGTATTATTTTTTATCAAAATAAAATATACGACTTCCAAATCGGAAGAAATTTTAAAATTTCAACAATGAAATTATTTTTTTTATGGGGTTGGTCGATACTTCAAAAAAGTCCATGATGAATGTTTTGAAAAACATTTGATTGAGATTATTCAGTTGTTGGTAAAACATGTGAAAATCTCAAAATAATGTTTTTCAGTACATGAATATTTTTATATTGCTGATTGCTGTTACAAATATAACCCTTGTTCTGATTTTGAATCATCCAAACGGCTGGCTTTGTTTAACTTAATTTCAATAACACTAACATTCTTTACAATTTTTTAGATTTCAAGGGTATTGCACAGGAAGTTTCATTGGTTACCAAACATGGTATTGAAACGAAGAACTATGACACAGTAAGTGAGGCAACATCTTTTTTTTCTCAAATTCATTTTTGTTTCCACTTCTACAAGTTTTTTCTTTAAGCTTGGCGAAGCAGCTCAGCTGAAGCCAATTGAAGTAGAACTAAAACGGTTGGAGGATCTCTCTAATGCCATCGTTCAAGATTTTGCAATCATGAGAAAACGAGAAGAGGAAATGAGAGATACAAATGGTGAGTAATGATTTGTTTTTTACTCACTGTTGTCTTTACAAAAAATTGATTCATATATATATATATATATTGGTGGAAATATATAATGAATTTTTTTTTTCAGAATCAACAAACAGCAGAGTTCTGTATTTCTCAGTATTTTCAATGTGCTGTTTGCTAGGATTAGCAACGTGGCAAGTTTTATACTTACGAACATATTTCAAGGCGAAGAAATTGATTGAATAACAAAAATGTTATAACTTCCATAAAAAATGTCATGTTTCATTTTTTCATGAATCCATAGAAGTCGAAATTTTCACAAGTTTTTTGTCGAAGAAGAGATCTTTGGCTTTTTTTTTTTCAGTAAACTATTGAGGTTCGATGCACACTCATTAGTTCGAACTGATTTGTTTTACTTTGAATTAGGAATTGTTTATAAAAGAATCTGTAATATATTGTAACAATTTTTGTAAAATTATATGATTGTGGTTTCCTATTGAAGTGGCGATTTCTTATGTTGAATCTCCCTATTTTTTTATATCTGGTTTAATAATAATTCATTCATATTATTATATGTACCCCTTACAAAAGTCCAGTCAAAATTATCAATAAAATTTGTACAGTTAAAAATTCGTAAAGCAAAGGTAAATTTGAGCCTGGGCTGCTTGAACACCTTCTCAGTCAAGAATTCTGCACTACACATTCTTTCTGTGTCTTGTGCTATAAGAATGCATATATATCTATTTTTATATTCTTTATTCTGGATACGTAACTTATATGTCCTAATTTGTAATTTACCATTCCTGTACTTTCCTAATTTTTATAAACTTATTGCATCAGGAGTAATAACCCAAATATATTGCGAATTATTTGAAATTGTAAAAATTTTCGAAATAATGTTCAAGAATAGAGATTGTTACTATAAGCAATAATCTAAAAGTTGTTTTACAATTTTTTGCAAATTATGAAAAAATGCAAAGTACAACATAATATATGAACGTGCAATCAATAAAAGAACAATTGGAAAAGTTAAGAGAAGATCCAGACATGTTGATTTTTATAGTTTATAGTACAGCTACCGGACTGAGTCATGACCGGTGAAATCTGCGTAAAGTTTGGGTCGGTGTATGATAAAAAAAGGAATAAAAACTTTTATTTGCAATTTTACGTTTACACCTCGAATAATCTAACAGACTGATAACAGATTTCTACGCGTCTACTGCACATCTTGAGGGAGGCGCTTCTCACCGGCCATGACTCAGTCGGGCAGCTGTACCACGCATGCTGTCCCAATAATTTGATTGGATGTTTTTTCAAGTAAGTCAAAAATCGATAATCGTAATAGATACAAAGTTGGTTAAATTGTCCATTTCAGAGCAACATTGCTTATCAATGAGGCCAAACTTATCTGCCGATGGGTTTCTGGGAACGTGGGGTTCTTTTTAGGTTTGAGAATCATGGTAACTGTGGCCTTCTTGAAGGAATACGTGAAGTATTGCGGTCGGAGTACAGCATTGATGATGTTCGTTATTGCTGCTTTTCCTTTCCTGGGTAAGGCTTTAGTGCCCAGTTTTTGGTTAGCGAGACCCCTGATGTCTCTGACTTCCTCTGGAGGATGTGGAGTTCCGAGGCTGAGCGTTGTCCCTTCGCTTTCACCTCATTCTGCGCATCTTCTGTTCGATTTGTTGCTGGATTACCTCTTGCGTTATCTGACCCGTAGGTTTAAGCGAGATGCTGGGACGTCCTGTAACACTTGGCTCTATGGATTGCTGAATCATTTGTTGCGAGCCGTGTTTTCGTTTCGATCGCGTTGTGGACGATGCGTGGGTATTTACTCCAGTCGATGATTTTTTCTATTGGGTTTTGTAGCTCCGGTAGTCCTAATACTGTTATAGAATTGAGTTGTGATCCGAGGACCCTTTGCAAGAGTTTCCATCTCCGTGGTGGCGCTGTTCTGCACTTTGGCGATGTCGGAACGTGGTCCACTCGGCTTTGTCCAGTCTCTCGACTGGTGTTGTTCACCGCATTTCACTCAACGATCTGTCGCATGACTACACTTTTGTGAATGTCCGAAGAACTGGCAACAGATGCATTGTTAAATTAATATCATCCATGCCCATTCGCTGCGGTTCTGAATGTACATACGATTAAGTTAACGCACATGCCAACCTTCAAAATCCTCTCCTCACTATAGTGTATCTTCACCGAAAAGAGTTTTCTTGGTTCTGCGTGTTGAAATGAAACTGTAATGTATAATGATGATATTTTTATCAGCCAATTTTGTTGGCGAAACGCGTCTACAGTATAAGCATTTCTTATTCAGTGTTTGAGTAATTAACCTCTGAAGATAGTTTTGAGGAATGATGATTTTTCTTTCAGTGGAAATTTACTGTGGCAGAGTAGCGATACATATTTAGTTAATTTGATATTAAATATTGTTTTTAATTACATATGTTTTTTTTCAGTTTTACATATTCTGTAAAGACAGCACATAACCAATACAAATTAGCTTGAAAAAGTATCATACTAGTTTCACCATGTGAAACAATAGAATTTTAGTGAAAGTATTTAGATGAAAAGTGGTAATATCCTTCAAATTTTCTTGGAGGTTTTTCATCGCCTAATTAATTATAATAATTTCATTAAAACAACGATAAAAATAAAATAAAAACAACAATAAACAATCAACATTTTGATTGATGAATTGTATTTTATTTGGTAGTGAAACGTTTTTCAACAACAGCCTTTACAAGCCCGGATTTTGTTCTTCCGAAATGAAATAAAATCTCTGTAATACTAGCTTTAATCTGTACGTGGGTTTGTACCACAAGTTCTGAATCTGACAAAATTTCTTCTTCAAAGATAGAAATTTATCGATATTATATGGAGTTCCATAGCCAGAGATCGGAGCAGACAAATTAATAAAATTTCTACAAGTTCTCGCGAAACATATTTGCATGATATGCTTCATGCATTTGCTGAGAGATATACACAGACTATTTATGTACAATATGAACAATAATGGAGCCAAATTAGATCAATGTGTTACACCGTTAGGCGCTATATATACCTACACTTCTGATTAGTGCTGAACTGAATAAGCGATGGTTGGATGGAAGAGCAATTTCTGCCTTGATATATCATGTGCAGATGTAAGGTTAGGTTAGTATCTCTTGTGCTGAGTAACCTTTCAATAAAATACTTTATCATTATTAGTATTATAATTATTGTTAAATATCTAAGTAGGAATATTCTGGTTTTTATCATTCTTCAATTTTATGTTGAGTGTTACAAACAGAGATATTGAACTGTTTTTCTACAAAATTCTAAGCTATACTGGGTAGTAACTTATTTAAATACAGTGATGTAATAGCAAGTTCCAACATTTTGCATTCCTAATTTCTCCATTAATTTTATTGACGCAGTATTTGAGATCAAAACGTTCGTAGTTGGATTTTCACCTTCCTCCGCTATTTGCTTACTCAACAATTTCATGATAATTGATGCGTAACCCTTTTTCCTATGATTTGGTGCTGTTTGAAGTAGCCCTATTTTACCGACACCAGTTTTCAATGCCCAGGCTACCAATTCATTGGTCGATTCGACAAATAAACCGATTCCTCCATTGTTGTCAATGAAAGCTTCGACATATTCTTGGCTCCCGGGAAATGAGTGAGTCCAAGATGAACTCACCAACTTGGAGTGGTGACTTTCAAGTTTTGCAGATTTCATGCCAGGAGGATATCTGAAAATTTGAAAGTAACATTGGGAAAATTATATAATTTTCACTGGAATTAAGTACTAACTGCAAGAAATCATTGTTTTCATATTTTATTCAGAAAAATCATTAAGATTTGAATTACACTAACCTAGAGTTATTCGAAATGGCAAAAAAAATAATTGATTTTGTAAACCAAACTTTGTTGTGGGAAATCGCTACTGAAAAATATTAAAAATGCTCCGAAAGCAGTTCCTGTGCAAATATATCGAGGTTCTCTCTGTATTATATTTATTCAAGGGCAATTTAGGTGTCAAAAACCTAAAAATATAGTGTGCATAGATTTCTGACAGGTATTCAAATTATTCTGTGTAGTAAAAACAAACTAAAGTGTACTAGAATATTGACTCCTCAAAGGTCAGTAAAATCGTGTATCTGTCATTGAAATACTTGAACCCATCAATAACATCGCTCACTTTTTGAAAAAGAAAGACTTTGATGTGACTCACAGAACAAATAATAATTCAGGCAAATAATGAAACATAATAGGCCATAATAAGACACACCTTTGGCGTGGAATAGATCAGTATATAAGTTGGTCCGTGCCCAAAATTTCATATTGGCTAAACGGGCGGAACTTTTCTCCAAAGAATAAAAGAGCATAGGAGTACTTTGTTGAATGTGAAAACAGATTGGTACTGAAGAGCCCTAAAGACAAGTGTCTTACGGTGAAACATCGATGTCTACCAGTGAGGATGACAGTGTTCCATAACGAATGGTTGGAATACAAACTGAGTAGAGGAAATTGTTTTTTGTATATTTCACTGTTCATATAAAAGTATTTGTTTCGAAAGAATTTTTCTTTCCTGTAATTCAATGTTTATATGAAAGTAGCTGTTTCAGGGCGGCTTTTTCTTCCAGTTTGTGTTTGAAAGCAATTTCTTTGCATGATCTACACATCTATGTATAGAGTTACTACTTTTGGAATTGATTGTTTCCTTCCTTTCTTCGGAAGATCCCCACATTTTCTTGTGTATCAAGATGGAGTCGTAGAAAGCCAAAAACTTTCTTTCCCAAGAATTGAATACTTTCCTTCTATCAAATCTTTTTTCTAATGCATTTGGGAATTACTTGTCCATATAATGAGTTTGTAAAATGTCTTTTCTGTTTTAATTAATGAAAAGTTTTAATTAGTCTATACCTGATCAGGTGGAATTATTAGTCATTAATTTATTTAGTGTGAACACGCCTGAGGATGTTATTGTACAGTGAAATACCTGTTACGGTTTTGTAAATTTCAGTGAAAATCTTACCATAAAGTATGACTTGAATATATATTGATATAACCTATTTTTTTCTGGAGTTCGATTTTAAATTGGTGGAATTATTTTTTAAAAGAAAGTGCTATTATTTTTAACCTCCCTTGAAATTGAATTTGAAGAAGCACATATAAAAGTATGGACATTTTTCGTTGGAGCAGAATTAAACTCATGAAATCATGAAAAATCTCGTTCTCGTAAGTGGATGAATTGAAATTCGATGTAGTAATAGACAGAAAATATTTTCTGGTAGGTATTTGAAAATTGTAAGATTAGATTAACGTTTGTATCTGAAAATTCATAAAAAAATGACGTCTGACAGTTTTTGAATTACCAATTTCATGTGAACAAGGTATCAAGGAATCAATAAAATTTTATCTTGAAGGCGCTGTGTCCAATTTTGGAGTGTTGAAACTTTCAATTGTTTTTTTTTTCTTTTTAGTTTTTCTATTGAATGCATCATCTGTTATTCTTTCATAATGTAATGTCGTTGTCATATATGTTACTGTTATATACTTCACATATAGGTATACGAAATTTGTATTAAAGACATTTCGAATGTCTTTACCTTCGAAACTTCGAAGTTCACTTTGTATTATTGCTTTCATTTGGAGAATATAATTTTTTTAGAATAAACTTCCTGAAGTTTCTTTCAAATGAATATAACCTACAGCGATTGCCACTTTTGAACAGGCACTGCTCTCAAAGCCAGTGGTAGATTAACACATTTGCCACCACAGTAGGCTATTCAAATTTTGCCGCATCCTTCTGACCTCTGCATTTCGATACCCTACACGGACAAAAGACGGTGGATGAAAATATTTTAGAATTGAAAGACTAAAAAATGATTTTGTTTTTTAAAAAATTCATATCTTATGAAAAATTAAGAACTGATTCCAGTCATTCTAAGCCTGTCCAGTAAATTTTCTAAACCAGTTTAAATTTTCTGAGTTTGTAAATAATGTTCAAAAAAAATGTTTAAAATCTGTTTTTAACATCATTGGATTCCAAAAATAACTGCACAGTTTCTAAACAATTGGTATACTCATCACAATTCTGTCTGTCTGTTTAAAATCTGTTTTTCCGTTAACCAGCTGTCGCACCCCTATAAACGACAACACTTAGAAGTCGAAACTTGTGCGAGCTAAGGATTAACGAGGTCTCATCTTTTAACGTGTGATTCTTAACACGGGTTGGACGATAGCAAGTGAAGATCGATCGTTCAGACTAGGGCTTGAACAACCGACCAACACGGCAGTCAATTCGAGTGAGTGAACAAAGCACCCACGCCGAACCGCTTGGCTACCGACCGACAATTATTAAATTATATAAGAATACTTGTACTAATTTTTGAAAAATGATTGACAAATTATGTATACAACCCACTAAACACTTTTAATTAGAAATTGCAAGACGCAATTATTATCCGAGGTGACTTTTGTTTTGACAAAAATTAAATACGAGACGGGACGGGACTTCCCAGTTTGTAAAATATATTATAATCTTTATTGAAATAGGAAACCTAATATACATATCTATGAGTGTAATAATAACACCAGCACAATGAAATATAAAAAAAAATGTATGTAAAAAAATTTAAAATTAAACAATTTGAGATTTAAACTAGCATGTAGCCTGACAGTGAACATTACATATAAAGATTTCAGTATCATATGTTAAGTAAATTTAAATAGATAATGAAATATATGTACATATCTACATTAAATTATTATTAAAACAGTGATACTTGGTTCCATAACAGATACAAATACCCTAGTGAACAATTGAAAACAATTAAAAACAATAAATGCTAGCCAATAATGTCCCAAATAATTCCACATAACTATACAATTTGTATTCTATTACTTTTTTTAATTCTATAAGTGCTCTTTTAAAGTCTTTTATCCATTGAACTCGTGGAAGCCCTTAAAAATTAACGAATTCATGGTACTTCCGAATGCCGGTCTGTTTGTATGTGTATTATTGGAATTTCTTGTATTATAATTATGAATGTTTTTATTGTATTCGATGTAATCTTTAAAATATTCTGGTGCCATTCCATTTACGATTTTGTATACTAGAGTCATTGTAAAATAATAGAGTCTACTTTCAACTGACAACCAATTCAAACAATCAAGCATACTTTTTATGGGAGTACGGAGATTTGTTTTCAAGATTACTCTCATCTCTCAATTTTGTAGTTTTTGTAACATATTTAATTTATTGAGGTTAAATAAAAATAATAATGACGCACAATAATCAAAGTGTGGTTGAATAACGGTATTGTAAACTGTTACTTTGGACTGCATTGACAAATTTTGTGCTATTCTACTGAAAAAATATAGTTTTTTCGATATTTTCTTATGTATATATTCAAAATGATTGTCAAAATTTGAAAAATTATCCAGTTGAAAACCAAGGTCTTTGACTGATGACACAACTTCAATTTTTTCATTATTGATATTGAGGTTTATACCGTTGACATCTAGAGAACTGTATTTATATTTCGTGGTGAATATCATTGCTTTTGTTTTTGTTACGTTTAACTTCAATTTGTTAGTGCATAAATACTCATTTACCGCTCTTAAAATCCCACCCATTTTATGAATAGCTCTATCTAATTCATATGGCTACACATGAGCAACGTATCATCAGCAAATAGGTTTATGAACTCAGATTCAATAAAAAGTTCAATATCGTTCAAATATAAAAAAAACAAGTGGGCCCAGAACGCTACCTTGGGGAACACCTACATCAATGTCTTTGTCATTTGATAGTGCATCTTTTGAACGGACTTTCTGTTTTCTATTGTTCAAATAATCACTGAACCATTCTAACACCTTTCCATCAATCCCATATTGAGCCAATTTCAACAACATAATTTTTCTATCAATTGTCTCAAACATATTTCTGGTTATCCAAGTTAGTTTTAATATTACATATTGTGAGCTGTAATGCTGTTTCACATGAGAAGTTTTTACGGAAACCCGATTGATTATCTATCGAAATTGAATTTTTATTGACGTGATGTAATAATTGATCATATACAGCAACTTCCAGAATGTTTTCAATTGGGGGCAAAGTATTAATAGCCGCTCTATATCTTTCTATCTTGCTCCCGAACTCAGTGCTGTCACACGTAACGTGACGTTCGGCTGCCACGGCGACACAGCCCCCCCCCGCGCTTTCATTTTGGCCAGACACTCTTAGCCAGGCCGTACACGGACCACATATTTGCAGTTGAGGCAACCACAACATTGTGACCACGTTGACTGCATTTCGCGGTTGACCCAACCACATTTTTGTGGTCGACTTGCGGTCATATAAACCGCACTTGCAGTTGAGGCAACTGACATCACAAATTGAATGCTGTGAGACCAATATGAAAAAAAGTACACCACGGTGTTCGCGGTTGGGTACGACTGCAAGTTTGTGGTTAGTGTACGGCGGATGCCGCGATGACATCTCGGTGGAGATCAGCAGCAAGTTGACTGCAGACGTCCGTTTTGAATTTTGTGAACGCCCGTGTACGTGTAGTACAGTATTTCTTAAGGGCGGCTTGAGTTCTCTGGAACACGACTACAACTGTGTGGTCGAGCCTACCGAAAAATGTGGCTCGTGTACGGGCGCACTTAGCGAATGATCGTCATTCGTTCCCGCACGTCCCGCACCGCAATCCAAATAAGACTACCAACACAAATACGTAGTATAAAAAAGTATTAGCAGATTGACAAACGTCAAAATCTCCACTTTGACAGGTTCAGTTAAATCGTGAAATCTAATGATATTTAGGTATTTATTTATTTTTCATTTCTGTAAGACAAAACAGTTTTTGGCACAAATTTGCCGCCCCCTAAAATCCGCCTCCCTAGGCTCAAGCCTCATCAGCCTGCTAGTAAATCCACCACTGTTCAAAGCATACCTACTTATGTTTCCATAAAAATATCTCTGTGCGAAAAGAAAATTATCAATTACCAAGACGTATTTTGAGTTGCATATTTAATTATATCCAACATACATTAACGCAAGATTCCTCACCGAAATTAGTCTCGCAGATGTTTCTCGTTCATTCAGCAGCATGACCATGCTGAAATTCTTCGAGTAGATCTCCTACATAACGATTTCGAGGTATTATCTCTCATTGGTGCAAGAAAGATCCGACCCAAATAACAAAATTCCTGAGAATTGATTAATTTCAACGCGGCTCAACTGCATGTATGAAACCGTCGTCCTGTTAACTAGTAAAAGCTCCATGGGATGTTTATTCTCCCCAAGCGGGAAAGAAACATTCCATTCATCAGTTCTTTGACAGAAAAAATTTGAATACCGTATCGAGGAGAGATGCAAATACGAGATATGCATACATATTTCGAAATGAAATTTCGAAATATTCATCTCTCTAGGTTATGTTAAATGCCTGCTGAAAACAACTAATTTCCCAACTTATACCATGCTGGACATTGAATTATATCCCACAGAAATTTATGCAAGATAGCTCACAGAGATTATTACCTGTAGTCACTTTTGTTAGATAAGAATTTCTCTCGTCTGTTATCATACTTCTGTGATTGGTAAGTTATTTACAAATAAGGTGAACAAAAGTGATTGTAATATTTTCAACAATTTTGAAACTTACTCTATTTGGAATTTCAAAGCATCCTTCCTCCACATGGTGTAAATGTAATTGACATTTGTTTTCTCGATTTTCAGAGCCATATCTTCAATCACACGTAAAATCGTAGGGTAAAGACAATTAGGTAAGGCATAAAACACCACCTTATTTTTATTGAAATCTATCCTATTCGTTTTCATTAAAGTTTCATATATTTTTTCATCGTTGTTGGTTAAGGTGAAAATTGCAACTTGATATTTATGAGGGAACTGAAAAATGACGATAAAAATTGTCAACATTGAAATACACCTTTATATACTCACCTGCATTAAAGCAAAGAATAAGCTACCATTTTCTTTCCAGCTGTCTCCAGGAGACATGAAGGTTATAAAATTTTTTCCTGCTTCTCTTAGCTTTTTGCCATGCCTCAAAAGACTGCTAGCGTAAGGAACTTTCCCGGATTTCCTGTATGTATCTGCTAACGTGTCCAAAAATTTATTGGGAATATCGACCAGAATTTCATCAAGTTGTTCACTCATTTTTACAGTTATTTTTGTTGTTTTATGTGACTAAAATTTCTTGCAATGATATTTGTTCTACATAATTTTCGTTTATCATCTTGATACGTACACAAACCGAAGCCACTTATCGAGATAATTTATGCTGATAACGTCACTATAGAAAAATAATTTATACCATTAGGATATCAGCTTAATCATATCTGATTTTTTTGTGAAGAAGTCGCCTTCTATAGATTTTGTTCGGAAGCTTTTATGAGTTTTTTTGAAAAATTAAAAGTTGAGGTTGTCAGCTTGCTTGACAAAAATAGTGTACATACGACTTTCAGTGACAGCTGCAAAAATTTAGGTGTACTCATAGATTCTAAATTATGTTTCAAAGCACATGTTACGGAAAAACTTCGAAAAGGTTACGCGTCGTTGAAGTTGGTATATCAGCAGAGAATATATTTAAGTTTGGAAGTGAACAAAATGTTGAGCGATACTATGATATTGTCCCATTTCAATCACTGTGACTTTGTTTATGGTTCATGTATAAATTGTGGTGATACATCACATTAGGAGGAGAGAAAGAATTTCACATAAGCTGAAGGACGCGGAATGGTTGAGAGTATGTATAATAGACTCAAATTACATGCTCTTAGTTTTTACTATAAAATACTAAAATTCAAAAATCCCAAATATTTACATAGGAAAGTTATATATAGGACAGATGTGCATCATGTCAATGTTCGGAGAAAAAATATGATCCATATTCCTGCACACAATAAAATCAATGAAACATGTTTTTTTTTTAAATACTCCTTAATTATATTTCAGTTCTAATTATATCCTGGTGTAACTATAGCTAGAATGTTTATTTATTTTTGTTGTGGTGTATGTGGAAGTATTGGTTTTAAGATGTAGCTTAATCCATTTATTTACCTCGTTATGTGATCTACTGAAAATATTTCATATTATGGTAAATAATAAATCATTGTTTCATCTCGATGCTGCAAGCTCTTTAGGGAAAACAATATTCAATCATGATTCTCTTTCTGCTTTAAATAAATTGCCTGATCACATAAAAAACTGTGGAAGTATAGTAAAATTTAAAAAAAATTATTAAAAGAATTTATACTTCAGGAAAGAAACTTAGGATAAATGAAATATATACTTATTATGAAAAACCAATTTAATTTCTTTGTTTACTGATTTCTCAGTTTAAATGTTCAAAATTTGTATGATAATATTTGTAAATGATCTTATATCAAAATAAATCATAACTTCATTTATAATTGCGGGTTTCTTCAGAAAAAACAATGTGGAAGTAGCATTAATACCACATGCCAGGTTATCTCATTTCCTTTTCAATGCCAAAGATAAGGTCAACAAGTTGGAAAAATCTGGAGTTTATAAGGTTAAGTATCCGGAGTGTAATAGTGCCATTCCTTGGCATGCAATCACAGGTTTCCGAATCTAAACGATACGGAAATTCTGCACTATGCAAGGAAGGGTTGCAAATTATTTAGAATTCTTGGAAATTCACAAGCATAAACATTGCGGGTACAACCTGTTAAATGATCAAATCGATTTAATTTACTCTCCGGTTTTTAAATTGGCACATCCGCATTGTGAACTGTAAATACAGGTACTCAATCAAGTACCTGAATGGTATATATTGGCGAATGTAATGAATCATTGTTAGTTAATTGTATAAGTTTGAGAATGTCCATATAGGATGAAACTGCAGTAACGTTAGTTACAAATAAAAGTGGTAAAAAACATAAGAAATTTTCACTGTGAGTTTTCCAGTCTGCTTGACCCACTCTTGCCTCCCCCATTATTACTAGATCTAAAGAAGGAATATTCAAAAGTGTTTCCATGCAGCCATAAAAGTGGTTTTCATTGCTCCAGTTAATTCTAGATATGCAAGTCTTTGCACCTTGCTTGGTTTGTTAATAGCAGTCGTTTGTTTCATATTTGGCTACCAGAGTATAGATGCATATTTTATCATGAGTTTAATCACCATGGTGTAGAACCAATACGTAAGGGTTGAAAAATTACCCTACGATAATCAAGATAAATAATAATGCTATTTATTTCGAAGAGTATTTTACACAAATTTGGATTCAAAATTTTAACTTCGAAAGAAAAAGCAGCTCCGTCAATGAATAAAGTTTTTTTATAGAACAAATGGTGATTATTGAACTGAAAAGTACTAAAGAAGGTGAAATTAGATGCTATGGTGATGTGGCGAATAAATAGTTATTCTACAGTTTCTATTGGGCAAAAAGAAGGCTGGAAGGTTGTAATTTCCGACTCCAAAGCCTGCAAAGACGTAACAGTCGGCAGGCAAGATTATGGTATCAGTATTCTGGAAGCGCATATTTTTCGATTCTCCTGAAAAGAAAAAAACCATCAACAGCACAGTGTCACAAATCTATGGAAACGATGGCAAAATTGCATTAATTGGGCTTCGAATTGCTTCCGCATACACCGTACTCTCCAGATCTGGACCTTAGCGACTTTTTCCTGTTCTCAGATCTCGAAGGAATGCTCGCTGGAAAGAAATGTAGCGCCAATGAAGAGATAATCGTCGAAACTGAAGCCTCTCTTAAGACTGAAGACAAATCGTACTATAAAAATGGTATAGAAAAATTGTATGACGGTTATAATCGTTATATGGCCCTATCTATGGCAACTATTATGAATAACGAAACAAATTTTGCCAAATAATATTTTTTACAATGTTAGCCTACGAAACCCGACCCAGTCATCAGTTTCTCATAATTTTCTAGAACACTTTTATATCTACTTTAATTCGAGACGATGACTGATTAATTTACCGGTTGTATTTCTGAATGAAATGTGAACCAATTATTTTTAATAATAATAAGTTTATTTACCAAAAAAATGTTACTACATAATCAACACTGTAATTAATTGCTGTTGAAAAGTTAATAAACATGAAATTCCCACTAAAACTAAAGTTGCGCGTGGTGAATTACTATACCTATAACTATTGGAAAAAGCGTCAAATATATGACCGTTTCTTGTTGTGTAATGAACTCTAGTTTCGTCCTCCGAATAGGCAATGATCCATTACTCAACACCTCTTGGAATAAAATACAGTTTCCAGTGTCATTATTTTTCGAGTTTAAAAGCCGTGGATTTTTGAAATTTCTTCCTGACGTTTCGCTGGCGCGAGTGGCTTCTTCAGAGGTTTAACCATCATGGCTTGCTGTCCGATGATAACTTTTAGGCTTCGTAAAGCGTATTTATACCTTGTCAGGTAATAAGTTGTATTTGTACCAGTACTTGTCTCTACACGTACCTGTGCTGTGAAAATCACAACATGAGACCGCCCGTCGAAGGGGGTCAAATGGGGTTATGAATGAAAAATAAATCGAAACTCATAGAAGGAACAATTTTGTCACAACAATTTCATACTGGAAAAATCGAATTCTATCATAATAGCTATCTGTGAAATTCACAACATGAGACCGTCCGTCGAAAGGGGTCAAAAGTGGTAATGAATACAAAAATAAATCGAAATTCATAGAAGGAAATATCCTGTCACAACAATTCCATGCTAGAAAAATCGAATTCGATCATAATGGCAATCTGTGAGAATTATAACATGACACCGCCCGTCGAAAGGGGTCAAATGGGATGATGAATACAAAAATAAATCGAAACTCATAGAAGGAAAAATCTTGTCACAACAATTTCATGCTGGAAGAATCGATATTTATCATAATGACAATCTGTGAAAACCACAACATGACACCACCCGTGAAGGGGGTCAAAAGGGGTAATGAATAAAACAATAAATCGAAACTCATAGAAGGAAAAATCCTGTCACAACAATTTCATACTGGAAAAATCGAATTTTATCATAATGACAATCTGTGAGGATCATAACATGACACTGCCCGTCGAAAGGGGTCAAATGGGATGATGAATACAAAAATAAATCGAAACTCATAGAAGCAAAAATCTTGTCACAACAATTCCATACTGGAAAAATCGAATTCGATCAAAATGACGATCTGTGGAAATCACAATATGAGACCGCCCGTCGAAGGGGGTCAAAAGGGGTGATGAATACAAAAATAAATCGAAACTCATAGAAGCAAAAATCTTGTCACAACAATTTCATGCTGGAAAAATCGAATTCGATCATAATGACAATCTGTGAGAATCACAACATGAGACCGCCCGTCGAAGGGGGTCAAATGGGGCAATGAATACAAAAATAAATCGAAACTCATAGAAGCAAAAATCCTGTCACAACAATTCCATGCTGGAAAAATCGAATTCGATCATAATGACAATCTGTGGAAATCACAACATGGGACCGCCCGTCGAAGGGGGTCAAAAGGGGTGATGAATACAAAAATAAATCGAAACTCATAGAAGCAAAAATTTTGTCACAACAATTTCATGCTGGAAAAATCAAATTCGATCATAATGACAATCTGTGAAAATCACAACATGAGACCGCCCGTCAAAGGGGGTCAAATGGGGTAATGAATACAAAAATAAATCGAAACTCACAGAAGGAAAAATCCTGTCACAACAATTTCATGCTGGAAAAATCGAATTCGATCATAATGACAATCTTTGAGGATCATAACATGACACCGCCCGTCGAAGGGGGTCAAATGGGGTTATGAATACAAAAATAAATCGAAACTCATAGAAGCAAAAATCTTGTCACAACAATTTCATGCTGGAAAAATCGATATAAAATCACAACATGAGACCGCCCGTCGAAGGGGGTCAAAAGGGGTAATGAATACAACAATAAATCGAAACTCATAGAAGGAAAAATCCTGTCACAACAATTTCATACTGGAAAAATCGAATTTGATCATAATGACAATCTGTGAGAATCATAACATGACACCGCCCGTCGAAGGGGGTCAAATGGGGTAATGAATAAAAAAATTAATCGAAACTCATAGAAGGAAAAATCCTGTCACAACCAATTGACAAGAGTGATTGTGTAACTGTATCATATCTTGAGGGGGAAATTAATGGAACAAAAAAGGTCATACTTCTAGTCCTACAAGCTGCAATACAATCCACAGTCGCTAATGTTGCTCGCGATGCACGTCAAGCATTCGATGATAAAATTGCAGAGGCTCGG